TTTTCAAATAATACTAAAGCTATCTCAATGAATCGAAAAAATAGACAAAATTCTAAAATTAGCAAATATAATAAATATTATAATGATAATATTTGTCTCGAATTTCAGTTACATTTTTAATGTTAATACATAGAAATATTTAATAAAAACAATAACAAGTAAAAAGGGCTAAGTTCGAGTGCAACCGAATACTTTATAGCCTTGCAACTTGCAAGAATCAAATCGCGAAAAAAAAAACCCAGGCCTAGGCAATTTTATACATACATAAACTCTATGTAACTCAACCGACATATACGGCATAAGGTTTGTTAGAAAAATAAAAATCATTATATTTGGGATGTGGCAGTTATAGTAGTAACGTCTCAATCTTATCTATTAACTAATATAATGCCACATACTGAAAAAATCTTTACAGGGTTTCACTAAGGTATCACACCTCCAATTACCAATCATATGGAGCAAAGTCAGCTGGATGTTCGAAAATACTGATAATATTTATTACTCTCTCAATTATATATATTTAGGCACAAAGATGCACTGTTATGAGTAAAACATGTTTTGCAATTTTCATTGAGATAACTTAAATAATATTATATTTATAGTCACCTGGAAGTTCGAAAATTTTATATTAGATATATGGAAGCTCAGTGAAATATTGACCCAATTCTATACATTTTTGATACACAGAAATACTATTGTCGGGAAAAGTTTCTGTCAGAATTGCAATTTATATCTCACACATTGACCGATATTTTTGTTTAAAAGTCAACTGTAGATACTGGGGTCCACATATTCGATACCTAGGGATTTGAACAGTTTTGCTTAGATTTGGGTAATTCTTGGTGATATGGTGGCATACTTTAAAGGAATTATTAGTGCGCAATTTCAATCCGTTATTATTATTACTTCTTGGTTTGTATACTGGAAGGCGAAAGTATAAAGTAGAATTTAAAATTGTGTTATATGGAAACTAGTCGTGGTTGTAATCCCATATCGTTCATTTTTGCAGTGTGAGAGCTATGTTACGTACTTAGTTTAGTCGAAATCGGTTTGGTTGGGTTCTGAGATATGTGATGTAACCAAAAAGTTGGCGGTGCCACGCCAATCGAACGGATTTTTCTCATCTTCCTGATCTATCTTCTTAGTTTTAGGTGATACATGCAAACGTTAGCTGTAAAAAAAGATGTGTATATTTTCGGACCTATATCTAAAAGCAGAGTGACATATAGGTAAATATAGGTAAACATACTCACATGACTGAATCGACTCAGCTCGTCTCTATAGCGATATTTATATATATTTTAAAAGTTCTCCGGCGTTTCAAACCAATTATTTTCTAGTATTTAACAATCGGAATTTTTTCCTCCATATATTAATGACAAATGTTAGCCTCTTTTCAAACAATAAACGAGAAAGATTCTGGTGAGAGCTGTTAAATTAAGAAAAAATCTAAATATTTTCAATGCCCGCCGAGCGAAACTGAAATCCTGTCTGAAGGTTGACCTTTCAATATTATACATATATTTTTTGATCGCAAAAATTCTGACATAGCTGTCCTCTTTTTTATGTTTACAGTGGTCACAAAAAATAATTGTATTTCATTGTTTGATCGGATTAAAATATGTGCAAATTTTAGTTACTTGGCCCAACTGTCTTAGTCTTCACTTTACTTACTACGATAAAATTATTTGAATTAAGTTATTTCAATTAAGGTAGGTAGAAAGGTGGAGTGGCTTTCCGACGACGTACCCAGGTCTTTAGGAGGCACATTGTGATACCACCGGGGCTCCACTCTGAACCATCTCGTGCTTCTGATGATGTTCATCAGTAGGAAAACTTTTACCTTTATCTTTATTTTAACCTCCGAGATGTCGTCAAAAAATCCTCCACCGATAGTTGCGATTATCGAGCTTTACATGTTTAATAGACTCCTGCTTTTCTGCCACCCGATAGTTTCTACAATATTTTTGTGGTGCTCATAGCCTACTGGCTGCTTATTGACCAGGACAATCTTTCCATAAATTCATCGACTTATTCAACATTAGGTCGACCAGAGCGAGGTACATTTTTCACATTGAAAGTGAGTGAACCATTGTTTTGCTACACGAACTGATACAGTATCGTTTCCGTAAACTTCACAAATTTCATTGGTGGCTTTCGTGGCATTCTTCCACACCTGCACTTTTTTTTTTTATCAAATATAGGTTTTTCCGTTAAATAAAGCTTAAAATCTCAACTTCCAACACTATATGTATGACACAATGTGATTGTTAGCACTTAAGATCTACGTCTGCAACGACATCTATCGATAAAATTCTTTTTCGACTACCCAATATATTCCTTGTTGTGAGCACACTCTTTGCCAGAACAATAAGGCTTTCTTTAATTGCCATATCTCCGCTTTCAGGACTTAGTAAACAGAAAGTGATTTTGGTATCTACATAGTTTTGCAGAAAAGACGCCACTTCTCACTCGGTTATCGAGCGTGGTCTCACCCGTATAGAAGCTTATCCCTGCGCCTTTGTCTTCGTCGTCTATTTCCCACTCTTCTCTGGATGGGAATGCAATATTTAGAAGCGAATTTAAATTCAACTTTACAGATATGGGATTTCGAAAATACTTGGTAATATGGAGAAACGAGTGTCATAAAATGTCCCTTGTTACTAGCGACTAAAAGATCTTCAGGTAAAAGTTTCTCAGTCTAAGAGTTCACTGCCATTTGATTACAAAAAAAGTCTTTTGTAGTGAGTGTAAAATTACGTTTATTGCTTCTGATGCATATACCGTAGGGCATAACCAGCTCACCTACTGCTGTGTAGAGTTAATGGGCTATCCGAGACATTTGGGCCCCAACAACCTTTTACACTTGAATCTATTTAATAGTCTTTCAGAATAACTTAAAAGGAGTTTTTCGAAAAGAAAAGGCCGAAGATTATTTTATCGACGGTCCTTAGGTGACAAAAATGTGCTTTTCATATTATTTTTGGAAAAGTGTACTATTGAGCATTAAATTAAGTTTTTTTTAAAGAGATTTCAAAGCACTGGATAAATTAAAGTTTTTGTGTTTTAGGAAGCATTACAAACGTTTCCAATTTCTCAATGGGTTAACAATATTTCAATACAATAGAACCGTGGCTTAATGTGCATATGATGACTAGCGTATTTTCTCAAGCTGGTTTGTTCTTTAATAATTATACTTATTACGGTGCTGTGTGTAGACGTAGGAAAGCCAACAAGGTTAAGATCTCTAATAGCCTATAGTGGCAATATTAATGCTTAAGATCACTTGACGTTCCAAGTTTTATGTTTTATTGTTTGCTGTGTTGAATTCAACTCACTCAAGGGTTAAATCGCAAATAAGCGTAATGTTTGAAATTACTTTGTTATATGAATCTCGTCAAAATTTGGAACTTTGTTCTATTTATGTGTATTCCCTTAACACTAGATGTTCGCATGCTACATTAGATACCGATATGTACATGGTATATATGTATACGAGGTGTGTTCAAAAAGTATCGCTAATTTTGAATTTTCTCGGGTTACGCATATTCGAATTTCGAATTTTTTGTGGCGTTATGTTGGTACTCATGTCTCTCACTTATGCCGACAAGCTCGGCCATTTTGAATGTTCATTTAATTGTTGACAGCTGCTTTGCTTGGACCGCGTGTTTTGGACCGTCTTCGATTTTTACCTATTCAAAAAAAAAAAAAAAGGATCAAAGAACTTGTATCAAATTTTGTGTGAAAAACGAAATTAAGTGCGCGGATGCATTCCGAATGTTGATTGTGGAATACTGAGAAGCTACCTTGGACCGAAGCAACGTTTATCGGTGGTACAAAATATTCTCAGAAGGCCRAGAAGATGTGACAAAAATTGGCTTTTGCACCATGATAACGCCCCTGCTCACACATCGCTGCTTGTGCGCGACCTTTTGGCCAAAAACAACACACAACGATGCCGCAGCCACCGTATTCCCCAGATCTGGATCCCTGTGACTTTTTCTTGTTCCCTAAACTGAAGAGGCCGATGAAAGGACGACGTTACACTTCTCTTGACGAGATAAAGGCGGCATCGAAGGAGGAGCTGAAGAARAWAAAAAAAAAAATTTTTTTTGAAGTGCTTCGAATATTGGAAAAACCGATGGCACAAGCGAAATTACTTTGAAGGGGACAAAATAGATATTCATGAATAAATAAATAATTTTTGAAAAAACCCAAAATTCGCGATACTTTTTTAACACACCTCGTATATTAATGTACAAGAGGACACCTCTTATTTTAAAATTACTATCCCACTCTATACTCTTCTCTACTCTGACTATTTAGGAGTTTGTTACTTTCAAAGAATTTAGGATTTTGATTTCGAATATTATAATATTTAATAATATCTTTATTTTTTAAGATATCAGTCTTTAAGCATATGGTCCAATCTTCTTTGAATATATAGTAAGTACATACATATACATATACTTATATAGTAAATGTACAGATATGTGTCTACGTACGAGTAAAACTTTTCTGCACTTAGTTAACGATGAGGTGAATAGACATCGTATAGCGAAAGAGTCATCAATAAGATCTGTTCTTCACTCAATCTCCCACAATCGCACTGGCCTACGAACGGTACTTTCTTTCGATATAATGATCATTGTCATATGCTTTGCGCATGCCGCAGCTAACTCTTTTGAAGTCATTCCAGCCCTTAAGGCAATTCTTTGACGCTGTCTTTGCGCTTGCGGGGAGTATTAAGTGGCGCGTGAGCACTTTCGTTAACGAACATTCAAACGAAAAAGTACTGGCTTGTAATTATGACAATGAAATAAATAAAAATTGTACGCAAGAATTTAACACTCTGCAAATAAACCGTTAGAAAATTTCGATTTTTTTACAAAATTTGCATATCATTTTGGCCTACAAAATAATTTCACCGTAAACTGAGGCCGCATCGATTTTGGTATAAAACCTTTGGTGGATAAGCAGACATCAAACAGTAGCACAGCTGGTGTAGTGCTGTCAAAAGTGTTGACAAGTCAGTGCGGCGGACTGTTGTTGAAAAGGACAATAATATTAAATTGAACGGTGAAAATAAAGCGAGTGTGTCCAAAAATGTTGCTGAAGCTAGTCTGTGTAATCGCATTGACACACACATTGGTGTCAGGTAAATTAACCTTATACATAATCGAAAGTTGGCTAAATGATAACCTAAATTCCAGCTGCGCCCAAGAAGAAAGCATCGGAGGAGCACGTTGCTGCGCTATTTGTTAAGGACACTGGCAATGGTGAGCTGCGCTTCTTGACCGGCACCAGCAACGTCAACCAGTTGATCACACAAGGACAGGATTTTCTGGAACAACTCCGCCCAAATAGCGGTTCCAATAATATACAACCAATTTATATAGATTTGAATGGTGGCGTTCAGACTACATCACCGACTATCAGTACTAGTAGTACTGGTAGTGGTGGCAATGGTGGTGCTATAGGTGCTGTTGCTACTAATGCTTCACCAGTTGCGGATCTATTACCGCAAATTGTGGGTCAGGCTGTGGCGGGTGGTAACACATCTCCAACAACTACTACAACAGCAGGAGGAAGGCGTCGCATAATAAGACGTGGCAACAAACGTCGTCAAGGCAATCGTCGCCGTAATCGCCGTCGCCCTGCTAAGAGAAATCAGGGTGCCAAAGTGGTGGTATTGCGGCCACAACAGGGTTAACTCAAGCTGTAAAACTCAATTTTAAAGACAAAAAGCGCGTCGTATAAATACTCTACAAAAGGAACAATAAATTCTATAATTTACTAAAATTGAAAGAAAATATTTTATTAAAATTCTCTATCTAAAATCTAAAAGTTTGGTGCTAGTTGAAAGTGTAACAGCGAAAACTTCATATCTTTAAGAAAGTACATCGCGTTTTCAGTAATTCGGTAAAATGAAAATACGGCGTAAGAAAAATTAAATTTTATTTTTTCACCACATTTTGTCTCTCTTTTGCAAGACTGAGGTTGGAACACTTCAACAGTCGCTTCGGCGAAGCAGGTACTTCAGCTATGACGGACATTAGCGGCTTCAACGTCGATTCATGAGGATCTTTATGATCAGTTTTATATGCATTGTGGGTGTCACTACGACCCGTCGTTATATGCAGTTCAAGTGAGAACCCTATTAGGATCGCCCATTTCACTTAACCTATGATATTCTAAGCCTTCTGGTGAAAATTTCTGCTCTTTCCCTTGTTAGATCTCAAAACTTAGCGGATGCATATAAGATAAACAGATACAAACCATAAGAAACCCATGTTCTTGCTCTGGCCTTATTTGAAAGTATTATGGCTTCAGGTGACATGTAACGGGTGACGCTTTAAAAATATTTATTTCAATAGATTTTTTTGGACAGATCACGCTTGAGCCATCTGAGACGTAGCCGTGGCCAAAATTTTAAAGAGATAATAAATGCCAAATAATGTTTTAAACATTCCCCGTTAAATAGTTTGTGTGTCTTTTCTTTAAAATAGTATGGTACCTAAAAATGGATCGCTTTTTGTAAATACAAATAATTGACTTTCATCTCTTTCGCACTGAGTATTAACTGTTTCTGGTTTTTAAGATTTTAAAGGTATATCGAAATGTAGGACACTCGAGATTTCATCTGAGCTCTTGTACAGGTCATTTTCATACAGATCATTTTCATACAAAGAGCTACTAATTTGTCCGAACCGCCGATATCGGACCACTAGAGCATTAGCTGTCATACAAACTGGACGATCGAAACAAGTACTTGTGTAAAAAGCTTTTTCATCTGACAAGACATCTTCACAATACTCAATTTCCATTTTATTTAACGGAATGTTGACCGGCTGCTTTTGGTTAGATATAGAAAGTAGGCATTGCTTGCGGAGTTAAGCGCTGCTAGAGAATTGCATTCATACCTCTGTACATAACTACTTAAATACCTTTACTTAGTGTCCAATAATCAAGGTCACAAAACTTAGCTTGACAACGAAATAGCTGAATATTTATTATTGTAAAGGGTAATTATTTCATGGTAAAGACATTTTAAGGTAATTAATACATCAGAGATAAATAGTGGAATTAGCTGGTAAATCGGTGGAAAGGTTGAATGCATGTAGCTCACTCAAGCGAATTACTAGCAGCTTAGTCTCCTCAGTCATCATCACCAGCAGCTGTGCTATTGTTGCAAATATGTGGTTTTCCCACATATTTCCTTTGCGAAATAAGCGATAAGCCTGGAATGTTGTTGGTAATTATTGAAAATTTTTGCGCTAGGCGTTAGAAGTTTATGACAAAGTTGCCACGTGATAACTTCTAGCCGAATAGCATAAGTATTTTATATTAACTGTGAGGAATAGGAACCGAATAACACTCTAACATTAAATGTAGTGTAAAATTGGTGAATTGAGAAACAATTGATGAAAGTTTTGTGTTATAATTGTTGACTGATTCTGTGTGTAGCACCAACCATATTGTAAGATCTCATTTGACCAACTGTAAAAGCTGGTCCTTTGTAGCTCCTAATTCTTCTAGAAATGTATCACCTTACCCTTATAGATCGACGAATCGGTTTGGCTTTCCACAGATTTGTTAAAGCGGCCAATTCCAGCTGCTTCTGTAAGTTCATCAAAGGTGTGTCTATCGAAATGTTTCAACTTAGATCTTGCAATGGCTGGTGAAGTAATGTCAGCTTTACTTTAAAATTCTTATACATATATATTTATAATCCCGAAATACCCTCTGTATGGTACATAACTGCCACTGCTGATTTCTCTATAAAAGGTATCGAAGTTCGTTAATGTATGGCAAGACAGACTCTACCTACAATTTATATAAACTAAAAGACTCTTTAGTGCACTACTCAACAAGGACGAAGATCAAGAGAAAATATTGCCTAATCCGACTATCTCAGGCTGCTTTCTTCTTTTAATTGGTAGGATTTTTTATAAGCGGGTCCCTCCTTGGGGAGGGATGTTTTGCCTTTTCACTTCACCTCGCCGCATACGCATGTTTTTGACTACCCAGAGGATACTTGGTCTAAGACCGAAAGTCGTGTGCTGCATGAACCATATGTAAAATAATTCTTTCTGGCCACTACGAAATGAGTAGTGATCAGAGAACTTTCCTCACTTGCGTGAGCTTCTACCTATAGTTTCATTCTTCACTCCTTATTCCCGCTTTGCTATATGTATGGTGCAGAGGCATGGATGATGAGTCAACGTTACGAGTTTTCGAGAGAAAAGTTCTGCGAAAGATTTATGGTCCTTTGCGCATTGATGAACTGTACCAGTTATACGACGACATTCACGTAGTTAAGAGACAGCGGCTACGGGGAAAGCAGAGGAAGGTTAAGACCTGCACTCCGTTGAAAAGACTAGGTGGAGAAAGTCCTGACTACACTTGGAATCTCAAATTGGCGTCAAGCAGCGGGAAGGAAAAACGCTTGGCGCGATGTTGTAAAGTGGGCTCTTCAATCCACCTCGGCTAAAACCGCGTAAAGAAGAAGAAGCATCCGACTGTCAGTTAGCGACACAGTGACGAAATGTACAGAAATACTTTTTTTGTTAAAATTTATAGCAAACAACTTGAAATTTTTCCGTTCGTTTACTTGGTGACAGGAATATCAGAGAGAACTACAGAGTTGGCAAAGTTCGAATTTCTTGAATAATTCAAAGTCGAGATTATATAACAGATCCCCAGTAACATAGTCGAGACACTACCTCTCTGCAACCGTTCTTTCTTTCATACATTGTACCATTGTATTGTGGTATACGTAAGATTTAAACAAGAGTGAGTTGGCAACCTTTTCGCGAAATTCCAAGTTGATGCCATAATTATTAAAACATTATAGAACAAGCCGCTGTTGTGCGTGGTCCGTCACCGGCGCCGTCGTGTTCCGCATTTTTTCACTTTTCCATTTAAGTATTTGTTGTTAAGTCCGCGCATTGATTTGAAGTATCGATTACCGCACAAACATATATACCTACGAATAATGTAGCAAAATCAGCTGAGAAGTGTATTAAATTTCTTTCCTGCACACTTTTATGGTCTTTGCAACAGGCAATCAAAATCAAATGCTTCGAGCAAAGTGTTGGCAGCGCGTCAATGGCATTTATGAGTTGGTTGACACTAATCAAACTCAGCAACCGCACAACGGCCAGTCAAGTAATCAACTTTTTACTTCTAATGTCGTAAAGTAAATTTTGTTATGCGGCTACTCATTGACCACTCATACACACACACACACACACAGTTTTATGAAGTATACGAGAGCGTTGCCTTTAAAAGCGGAAATGTTGTGGTTGCCGTCTGCGGCTTTTCTCATCAAAATACTTTTACTCTTTTGCTAATATACATAATATATGTATGTAGTGTATGCCAATACACTTAACGGCAGTTAGTTATCTACTGTATGTTTTATAAATTTATGCATCCTTACATTGCCCAATTTCCGCTGTCCGGTTAGGTGCTCCCGCCTCAGTTAACAATTTCCAAACAACTTTGCCATGCCGGGGTCCGAAAACTTTTCACAACTTGGTTTGTATGGCAGTTACTTTCTCACACTTCGAAATTCCCGTTAAGAGTATTACCATATTGCAAGTCCTTATAGTTGTTTTTATTGCATGACAGTCCTGCCTGGGTCGACTCACTCATACATAATTTGTATATATATGTACATATGTACGTTTGCAATGATTTGAATTTAAATTCATTTGAATTATTGCTTGCTTCCTGTTTACGGTGACCTCCGCATGGGGGTATGTCCTACTTAGAGATGCACTTCCTAGCAATCATGAAGACTGTAGCTACAGTTAATGAGAGGAATACTTTGTATGAGCATATATTAATAGTTCTGCTCGCAAAAAGCTTGGGCAATCAAGTTCTGAAGGCGAAGATCTTTCAAATATGTTACAAGTCCAAGCATTTTGGCATTAACGGAAATGTATTTCCAAGAAATACCTTAATATAGTAGTAATTAAATTTGCCAGTTTTGGTTTTCAAATACTTCTTCTCCCTGGCACTACAGCCGTGGGTATGTCTAGATGAAGAACACAAAACTGCGCCAGTTGCATCTAACATTTGCGAGATCACGCCAATTGTGAATCCAAGGTCACTAAACACTTGGTCTTTCTATTGAATGTGTGGCCAGCCTTGCTCCGTCCAAGAGCCTCGAATCAAAGAAGATTTTCGGTGGGGCATAATCCTCCGTGCTTACATCGTGGTCTTACCACTGTCAAGCATGGGGGAGGCAATCTCATAATATGTGATTTTCCACTTCGGGAGTTGATCCGATATTCAGGATAAAAAAAAATGTGGGCTCCAGACCGAAGAAATGTGTTTAAACTAGGAATTCATGCAGAATAATGACCATACACATTGCTTGAAGCTTGCTAAGGAGTGCGTACAGAAACAAAAAAATTAATGTAATGGAGTGGCCTCCATCCACTGACCTAAATCCAGTAGAATTTTAAAGGGTTTATTAAAAAATGAACTGGAGGCTTTAGCTACAAAATAAAGAAAAACTTTGGGAAAAAGTAACATCCGATTATTATGTCATTATCCTTTAACTTGTGCCTATCTGGTTAATTCGATGTCTCGTATGCACTCTGCAGTTAGTATATCGAAATACTAATATGTACTGTTAGATCATATTTAAGATATTAGCTTAATTCAAACAGGCTTCTTCCATAAAAAATGTCCGACCGCCACTAAATTGATTTTTTGATTATTCAAAGTTTAATGTAGGGAAAGTCAAAGAAATATTTGCCGTTCTGTCAATAAGCCAAATTACAAAGATCAAGTACATTTGGGCTTGTATACATATGTTTGACTGTTTTCGAAGTTCAACAAACTCTTATTCTCTTCTTTACTAGCGCATACACCGCTTTCGTGTTTATAGCCGGGTTAACAACACCGCTTCAGTCGTTTCTGCCTTTCCGTATTCGACGTCAATTCGAGATGCCAAG